ACCATGTTAGCCAGGATGGTCTTGATCTCTTGACCTTGTGATCCACCCACCTCAGCCTCCCAAACTGCTGGGATTACAGGGGTGAGTCACTGTGCCCGGCCTTTTCAATGCCTTTTACCCCAAATAATCAATGTACCAAAGTGGCATATTTGGGGGTGGCATATTTTGATCCCTACACTATGAAAAGCTATAATATATTCATGATAAATAGTATTCTATTGTTCATGGCATATAAATTGGAATCATCCTTTGGGAAACAACTGGGAAAATGAAAGAACTGTTCATTATCTCAGTAACTCATGTTATAGGAATTTACTGTAACAAATAATTAATCATGAGCTATGTATAGCATACACGTACACACACACAAATGTCTACCACCGCACTATAACAACAAAAAATGTAAACAACCTAATGCCCCAAAGCAGAAAAATATTTACTAAATTATGATAAGGCAATCCCATAGTATACTATACTCACTAAAAATGAGGGCTGTCTAGAAATATGTAGAGATGTGAGGTGGGAAGGGAGAGTTGGACCTGAAGTTGACTCAGAGCTATTGCAATAGCCAAGCGATAAGTATGGTACAGGCCTGAACAACAGGGGTGGCAGTGAGTAAGTAAGAGATGGTAAAGATGAAGAAATACTCAGAGAATAATATCAAAGGCTATTACAACCAGAGATGTGGGGTGGGAGTCAGATGTAGCCACAAGACTGAGTTGTCTAGACTTGGTGACTTGCCATAAGAGCAATAACTCATTCTGTTGGGAAGATGAGTAGTTTGATTTTGAACACAGGCACCATAACGATACCATACATTTAATTGTTTAATGCTTCACTGTTTACAATGCACTTTTACATTAAAAGTGCTCATCTGATCTTATAAGAAGCCTGTAAAACACAGGCAGAGACAGTAATTCATTTCCATTAACTGAAGGAAGAAATGGAAGCTTAGATGTCAGAGGACTGGAACCAGATTTATCAGGTCCCCTCAGTCCAAGTCCAGTGCTCTTTCCACTGCACAATCCTATTTCTAGAGAGTTGACTGTGCAACTTAACTAGGGCTAAAAACTCAGAAGAAAAAATATAAGCTGAAAGGATACACAGGAAAGCTCAAGATCAATTCATAAATAATCATTCACACGTGCTCTGGGGAGAGAGGAATGTTTTGAGGAGCGCATGAGTTGTATGTGCATGAGCACACATGGCAGGGAGTGCTAGTTACTTTTGACAAAGACTCTTTGCTTGGCCAAACTTTAGTCAGGCTTTGATTCTTTTGCTAGGTCCATCTATGCACTTCCTTGTAAAACCCAGTTTTAGGCAAGAACCTTGCTAAGTCAGTTTAGCAAGAATTGCCCCCATCTCTGACATCTGATCAGGTTTTTCATCCTCAACCGACCTCCAGGTGATATCTGATCACTTTGGCCTGCCTTCAGCAAGAATCCTGTTAGGTTGGTTTAGCCAGATTTCCCCTTACCCCTGGTGTTTCCTCTTAGTAATTTCTCATCCACTGACTCTGCTCCTTGGCTGTAAATTCTCACTTGCCCATGCTGTCTTTGGAGTTGGGCCCAATCTCTCTCCCCAACTGAGAGACCCCGTTACAGTAGTCCTTATATCTATGGTGATGGTCCTGAATAGTCTTCCTTACCATGCTTTAACAAGTGTCACTGAATAATTTTTTCTTTAACTTCTACTTACCCAATACTCATTCTCTTCTTCCTTATTAAAAGAACTCTGGGCAACAGGAGTGACTGAAAAATTTTATTTCCCAGACTCCTTTGCAGACAGGAGTAGCCAAATATAGATAGATAGATAGATAGATAGATAGATAGATAGATAGAGAAAATATATATATATATATAATTTCCGTGTGTGTATATGTGCATGCGCGTGCACGCTCATGTGCACATATTGAAGTTGTGAGTCAGACTTTTTGCCCTCATCCTTTTCTATATACTGCCTGGAAAGCAGACATAATGTTTAGCCCTCTTGAGAGACAAATGAAACGTCCAGGAAACTGCAAACCTTAAGCAAAAGAATGCAAATATGTTCATCTTCATGCTACTGAACCAACTACTACCTCCTGAATCATTTTAGATTAAAAAAAAAAAACCTTCTAGTCAAGACTGTTATTAATTCATAGCTGGTATAACACCTTGCTTTCTGAGGCCATCATTTTCAAGGATAACCATATTCTCCCTATACAGTGCTCTGTGGCTTGGGCTGGATGAATCATGGCTGGTCTGACACACAGTCTGACATACACAGTTCTAAGGTTGTAAAATACTCAA